CGAATACGCTAAAACTTTAATAGGACTCAATTAGCTGTGTCTGTAACTGATATCGCTTAGTACTTGAGAACTTATGCATTGTATTTCGGTGCTTAACATAGACAGTAAATATTTTATATACACGCGGGTAAAGCATCGAAAAGAATATAGATCCACCCCAAATTTCATAAAAACTTTTTGGTGTCAAGTTGTGCAATAACGAATTTTTGAACGCAAATATTTGTTTAATTTCTGTAGAGATACTGTGAAGTTAATTAAGAATTAGCTCGCTTATGGGCTTAAACCTAAGCAGTGACACAACATTTATTCTGTTATCTTAAGTAAATCATAAGTAAAGTTAAGAAATGACATGGTGTGGACTTAAATATAAATATGCATTTAAGTCTGTAATTTAGATCTTATGAATATATTTACTGCAATGTAGATCAATAAACAGTTCATATCAATATAGCTTTGTTAATTATCTTGATATGAAAAATTGCTTGAAAGGAAACTAACTTTAACGTATCTCCAACCCTATCTAACCTAAATCCTTTCTGGTCATGAAGGTTTTCAGAAGTATCTTTTCCGTATTGGCAACGCAAATGATTTGAAATGCATACATTAAGACCGAAAAGTTTTCGGAAATTCTCATTTAAAATTCGCGCGCTGTATATTTTTCGATATTTTATTTATGTAGTTTGGCAGCACTGTCCTTAATTACTATGCCAAAAATGAGCGCGATCTGTCAGACAGTTCGTTTACGGCAGCTGTTGAAACCAGTTCACCTCAGTAGTGCGTTGCGAAAAAAACAATGGAAAAAAATATTGGACAAAGAGTTTGCATCAAATTTTGTGTTTCGAACGAAATTTCGTGTGCAGAATCGTTGCGAATGCTACAAAAGGCTTATGGGGAATCAGTTTTATCGAAAACTCAAGTTTATGAGTGGTACAAAGCCTTTCAGGACGGTCGTACGACCGTCGAAGACATTTCGCAACGCACTACTGAGGGGAACTGGTTTCAACAGCTGCCGTAAACGAACTGTCTGACAGATCGCGCTCATTTTTGGCATAGTAATTAAGGACAGTGCTGCCAAACTACATAAACTTAAAATATCGAAAAATATACAGCGCGCGAATTTTAAATGAGAATTTCCGAAAACTTTTCAGTCTTAATGTATATGCAGATGCAGACGAAGACACCACTAAACATAACATCTTCAAATGCAACAGATGAAACACCACTTGAAACAATAGTCGGTGATATAAACGTTGAAGATATCACAACTAAGATGATAGTAACTAAAGAAAACTACAACGGCATAGACCGATTGAGTTACGATCATACTCAAACGGCAAAAATATGATCTCTAAAATGACTAATTTCGAAAAAGAGGCAAACAAATAAACCTAAGCAAGACCTGGAAGCAGGCTAACGAAAACGAAAAAAAAAATAAAACAAAACTACACACCTACAAAAACATAATATATATATAGATTAGATGAAGATTTTATAGATCATACATAATTAGATATGATCATAAAAGGGATATGAATTACTGTAGAACTCAACGCCTACCAACTGGACAGTCAGACGGCGATTCCAGTTTAAAAGAGTAAAATATAAGAAAATGTTTAATAACTAAAATTTTGTAATGTTAGTTTTTCAGTTGAATTAATAAAAATTATAATAATTATAAAAAGTTGAAAACTTTTTTCACACTTTAAAAGATATTATCGAAACTACCAAATGCAATTAATAACTTAAGTAATGTTACGTAATATTATATATATATTTTTTAAAATATTGACGGCTCCAAATAGTAATGAAAAGACACCAACATAAATTTTAGTTAATTTATTGAAATTTGGCTGACGATACAATGCTGTTTCGAGTATTGCCAAGTACTCATAATCAGTGGTTTTAGAAAATCGAATATTTTAATTAATTAATAGTCCGTATATAATTTGGTTGAACTACAAGTGCCTGTCAACTTAGAACGTGTGCCTGTCAAATTAAAATCGATGACTTATCGGTTGTTGAAGTCCAAACAAATTATATACGGACTATAAACTAATTAAAAAATTCGAATATTTCCTAAGACCACTGATGATGAGTTCTTAGTAATATTCAAAACAGCGTTGTATGATCAGCTAAATTTTAATAGATTAACTAAAATTTTTGTGTTTGTCTTTTCTTTCCTTGCTATTCGAAACCCTCCCTCAAAATTTAAAAAAATATAGTTTCTTTGTCATTATAAGAAAGCGCAGCTTTTTGACAAAACTAATTAAACTTTATATATTATATATTTTTGTTAATTTAATCAATTTTATTCAATGAAATCAGTAATTCTCAGTAATCAGAGAGTAATTAATTCTTTTTAAAGACAGTGAGTCTATAAAAACTATCTTAAAGATTTGCGAACCAATGTAACAGCAAAAACTAGAATGACGTAAAAATTGCAAACAACATACAAATTCCATAATTATTAATATTAGTAACGAATTTTTCTTGATTTTTAATTCTGAATTTATATTTCTATTTTTGATTTGTTTATGCTTTCAGTCTATTTTGTTTATTTCTTAAATATTATGACGACAAAAAAGGCATTGGATTACATACAACGGTAGGTACATATATACATGTATATATGAATTCTGCTAACCGAAACGTGTCTAGATACTACTTACTTACTTAAATATTGTGGGAGTTACTTAGGTTTTGAGCAACAATGTTTATTTATGAGTGAAGATGACAACACTCAATTATATTTGATTTGAGACAAGACCCCAAAATGATTAGAACATGTAATCACATGACGTCGCTAACTTGATTATAAAGTAGTATCAACGAGAATGGAATGATAAATGTGAATTAGTGACGTCACAACTAATGTAATTGCGAATATTTTTTATAATTTGCCACAAACATTAAATTTTTTCCAAGTGTGATTTTATAAAATAATTACGTATGAAATGTCAATATCATGTATTATATTATTCATTTTTATGAAAAAGGTAAGCAAATTTCCTTTTAAATTTAATTATTTTGTTATTTTAATATTATTATTTGATTATTTGTTTATTTAAGTTTAATAAAGATCTATCAATTTTAAATTTTTAACAAGCCTGCATACATAACATTGACTGTAAATATATGGTAGTTTCATTAATTTCCAGTCTCTCTCTAGTATTTGTATATAATATATTATACTTATCGATTCGAAATTATTACTATTTAACAGTTTAATACTAGTTAGAAGGTTTTTCAGCTAAATATCTTTTGTGATTAAGTGGTAGAATTACTAAATGAAATAACAAAAACCCTATTAAAGTAGTATGTGATTATATACAGATGTCAATGACTTTTCAATATTTAAAACACTTTTCACATGTCGATTATATTATGGTAGTACCTTTGAAAAATTCTCGCTTAATTCTCCTACTCAAAAAAAAAAACTTAAAAAAGTTACATCTAATGTATCATTAAGATATAAAAGATAATCATAATGCAGGGTTAGATAATTAATGTGTTATCTATTTAAGCGATCATATCTTTTTTATGTGAAATTACTTTTTCACTAATTCAAATTTCAAAAATTCAACTCGATATGTCCAGACTTTGCCTTGACCATGGCCTTTAAACAGTTAAAAAATGAGTGGTATGCTTTACGAATGTGTTCTTCCGGTAATTTGCCCATTCCTGAAAAATGATTTTCTTCAGAGCATCGTTACTGGCATATTTTTTAGTCCTCACCTTGCTCTTCAAAATGGTCCGGATTGAATAGTGCAACGAATTTGCATCTGGCGAATTCGAAAGCCATTGTGTGGACGGAATGACGTATGGAACATGATTTCTTAACCATAAAGCTTTACACGTTCCCTCACTTGTTTGAAGCGAACTTGTGTTCGGCTCAACACTTGTTCGTATGTTATAATTAAACGATTGTGAAAAGCCTTTAGAATTTAACTTAAATAAACTATAATTCCTTAAACTAATTAATTCACGGTTATTTTCGGCTCTTTCCCGGTCTAACCAATTTTGTTAAATAGCATGTCAAATAGATGAACATTTTATCCAATATATCGATATTTAGATATTAAACAAACGGTCTAACATCGTTTGTTATTTTTGTGAATTTAGTCAGCATTTTGTTAGTTTCAACAGACTTCTGGGGTTTTGCAATATCACACCTCTGAACATCTTATGATCCAATAATTTAGCATTTCATTCGATGAATTTTTCTATATTCTCTCTTGAGTGATCATTAAATAATAAAAGCATACATTTTTGTTTTTTCATCCACTAGCCTTTATATGATCCTGATCGGTGGTTACATGCTATATGTGCTGCTTCTCCATACATCCGTTGTTAATTTTACTTTCTGATAAAGCGCTCAGTTGTTGTGCATTTTTGTACGCTTTTAATTTCAGAACACTGATCAACTAGCCATTTCATTTTACGAAATTTAATATCAGTTTTGATTGTAATTCTATAATTTTTCAGTCTTACATTCATCTATTTGAAAATATTGTGATTCTTCCATAGCTGTTTCTTTTCTTTGAGATTATTAT